TTATGATGTTTTAAAAATAAAATCAGTTCACTGTTTTAACTATTTATATGTATCGGCTAATATATCGGTTATCGGCCTACAAATCTAGTTATCGGTTAGAGTTATCCCTGATTTCCATTCATAGGTTCCATTTCTGGTGACTGATTTTTGATAGATGTTACTGAGCAACAGTTATTTATTATTTTTTCAAAAAGGATAATCATGAGTCATAAAGCATTACTTTGCTACAGCAATCCACATGTAAAAATGTTTTTAGAGGCTAAAATATAAACCAATACCACCTGACTGCCCATGCTACTTTAGAATTTGATGTCTATGTTAGGGTTGTCACAATATGTCAATCAGCTGGTTTGTGTATAAGCTGAAATAAAAGCGATCTGCTGATGAATCGTGACTTTAAAACACTCCAGGGTCCCTGTATCTGTGGTTACACTCAGTAAACAGTGGTGAGTTTGGTGAAGCAATGACCTTCACGGCCAATCACAGTCATTTTCTATTGAGCATGTGAAAACATAGCAAATCAGCGCCGTTTAAGAACATGCTTAAATGTTAGCGGGAAATAGATATTTTTAAAATGTTAGTATCGACTGGTACCGAATTCCAGTATCTTGACAAACCTAGTCTACGTTACAAATATTGTCAAGAGTATTCAAAACATATGGTTATTCAAATCTAATCTAAATACCAACGAACTGCCCATGCTACTTTAGAATTTCATATCTATGTTAGGGTTGTCATGATACTGGAATTCGGTACCAATTGATACTGATTTTTTTTTTAAACGCGCTGATTTGCTATTGTGTTCATATGCTCAACAGAAATGTCTGTGATTGGCCGTGAAGGTCATCGGATCACCAAACTCACTGCTGTTTACTGAGTGTAACACAGATATAAGGACACTGGAGTATTTTTAAAGTCACGTCGATCAGCTGGTTTGTCTATAAGCTGACATACCAGCGATCTGCTGATGAATTGTGGCTTTAAAACACTCCAGTGTTCCTGTATCTTTGGTTACAATCAGTAAACAGTGGTGAGCTTGGTGAACTGTTGACCTTCACAGCCAATCACTGTCATTTCTATTAAGCACAATGGCAAATCAGCGCCGTTTAAGAACGTGCTTAAATGTTAGCGGGAAATAGATATTTTTAAAATGTTAGTATCGACTGGTACCGAATTCCAGTATCTTGACAACCCTAGTCTACGTTACAAATATTGTCAAGAGTATTCAAAACATATGGTTATTCAAATCTAATCTAAATACCAACGAACTGCCCATGCTACTTTAGAATTTCATATCTATGTTAGGGTTGTCATGATACTGGAATTCGGTACCAATTGATACTGATTTTTTTTTTAAACGCGCTGATTTGCTATTGTGTTCATATGCTCAACAGAAATGTCTGTGATTGGCCGTGAAGGTCATCAGATCACCAAACTCACTGCTGTTTACTGAGTGTAACACAGATATAGGGACACTGGAGTATTTTTAAAGTCACGTCGATCAGCTGGTTTGTCTATAAGCTGACATACCAGCGATCTGCTGATGAATTGTGGCTTTAAAACACTCCAGTGTTCCTGTATCTTTGGTTACAATCAGTAAACAGTGGTGAGCTTGGTGAACTGTTGACCTTCACAGCCAATCACAGTCATTTCTATTAAGCACAATGGCAAATCAGCGCCGTTTAAGAATGTGCTTAAATGTTAGCGGGAAATAGATATTTTTAAAATGTTAGTATCGACTGGTACCGAATTCCAGTATCTTGACAACCCTAGTCTACGTTACAAATATTGTCAAGAGCATTCAAAATATATAGTTATTCAAATCTAATCTAAATACCAACGAACTGCCCATGCTACTTTAGAATTTCATATCTATGTTAGGGTTGTCATGATACTGGAATTCGGTACCAATTGATACTGAATTTTTTTTTAAACGGCGCTGATTTGCCATTGTGTTCATATGCTCAACCGAAATGTCTGTGATTGGCCGTGAAGGTCATCGGATCACCAAACCATGCTACTTTAGAATTTGAGATCAGTTACAGTATTGTCAAAAATATGGATATCCAAATACCACCGAACTGCCCATGCTACTTTAGCTTTCATATTCCAGTCGTCCCTGATTCATAAGAGTGACATGAGGCAAACAAAAATGTTCAATATGAGAAATACTTTTATTTTAAAAAATATGTCACTGCCCTTTGTGTTCATTAAAATCTTTTACATTCAGATAAATTAATTCATACATGTTTTAATACAGAGTAACTACAATACATATCATTTCTCTTAATAAACAATAAAACGAACCAAAAAATATATATACAAACACAAAATAAATGCTGAGGTGGCTATAAAACGTATAAAGCCCAGCAGTATTTGTGGTGCTTTGTTTTGTGGAGCTGAAATCAAGCTTCCGAAGTCTGTAGTCTATAAAACCAGCTCTGATAACGATGTCAAGAGATCTATAGTACCACTGTGTCCCAAACAGTTGCAGTTGAAATAGTCTGTATTATTATTTATTTTAGATCGCTAATTAAACATTTGAGTAGAGCACCAACAAAAGACCCATGGTTCTGCTACAAATAATAATTAAAAATACTTTTTTATATTGTTAAACCACAAATGGTAACTACGAATTAATCATAGCTGCGTCCGAAATCGCCAACGACATTTGAATGTTCTATTCGACCGATTAAAAAAAGTTTGTTCTATACAATATGAATGCGAGTAGTATTAATGGAACTCGGACGTACTACGTCATGATGACATGACCTACCCGCGTCAGTTGCGTCGCTTCACTTCCATTCATGAATTATCTCGCAAAGCATAACGGGATAGCATAGTGTCCATCAGACTTCAGAATCTTGACGGAAGTAGTAGGTCATCTGGGTGGTACTTGCATACAGTTTTTCGAATTTGAATTTAGACAGCGCTCAGCTCGCATGTTGTCTTTAGCGTACTATATAGTATGGAAGTATGCGATTTCGGACACAGCACATGTTTTTGTTACACTCACCACAGGTCATCCATGGTATTTGTAGTAAAACTGCGATCAAACAAATAGCAATCGTTATACCAAAAACAACAACAACATGATTTTATAATAATAATAATACCCATGGTTAATATTTATAGGGAAACATTATCTGGATCTTTTAACGTTGGATTTGTTTTGAGCTCTGGTGATTTGTTTTGAAACATCTCTTTGCATTTCTATTTCAAAATATTTGTTACATAAGTTTTGTAGCTGAATTTATGATGAAAGATTAAATACCTTATTTTTTCCCCCTGAATTCTTTGCAACAAACTTGAAAAAGATATAATCATTACATAATATTTATCGTAGTAGATTACTATGACTATTAGTCGTAGAAGTTTTAATATTAGTTACTAATAAAATAATAATATATAGTTGAAGTCAGAATTATTAGCCCCCTGAATTATTAGCATCCCTGTTTATTTTTTTCTTGTATTTCTGTTTAACGGAAATAAGATTTTCTCCACACATTTCTAAAGATAATAGTTTTAATTACTTATGTCAGTTACCTGATTTATTTTATCTTTGCCATGATGACAGTAAATAATATTTCACTAGTTATTCTTCAAGACACTTCTATACAGATTAAAGTGACATTTAAAGTCTTAACTAGATTAATTAGGTTCACTAGGCAGGTTAGGATAATTAGGCAAGTTATTGTATAACGATGGTTTGTTCTGTAGACTATCGAAAATCAATATAGCTTGAAGAGACTTATAATTTTGACCTTAAAAGGGTTTTTTAAAAATTTAAAACTGCTTTTATTCTAGCCTAAATAAAACAAATAAGACTTTCACTAGTAGAAAAAATATTAGCAGACATACTGTGAAAATTTCCTTGCTCTTTTAACCCTTATTTGGGAAATATTTTTAAAAAGTTCAAAGGGGGGCTAATAATTCTGACTTCAACTGTATATAATTATTCACAATGCTTTGTGGGATTGTAGTTTTTTCCTGTCAATTCTTTGGATATATATATTTTTTTTAGAAATCAATAAAAGTCAAATTTTGTTATGTGATTTATGTGACCTAAAATGGCTTATTTTGTCTGACCTTTCTCTAAATCTGCCCCAATGTTTCTGCTATTTCATGTGTTGTAAAACACAATTTAGCTTATTTTTTATTCATCACAGGTCATGTCTGTTTATACGTTTTCAATATTAAAAAAAACGTATATTCTTCCTCTCCGTTTTGGCCTTCCGGTCCACACTGAGACGTGGTTTTTAGGCAACGAAAACATATCTCTTTGAAAACGCTGTCCAAAGTTTATACATGTGAAAATGCTGGTTTCGTGTTGCGATGTGAAAATGGAGGCTTTCAAAAACGATGACGTATTTTAGTCATGTGACCAATTTAACTAACATGGTGGACGACGCAAACCAGATGTTTTAAATGCTGTCTGTTTTGACAGCTTTATTAACATCAGTTTGTAAATGCTCCGTATTGCCTCTCTTCGATGGACTTACTGGTAGCTATTATTCAGCGGCGGACAATTGCGACATTTTGCTGCAACGTTTCAAAGAGACAAAGTAAATTAACGGCAGCTGGATATAACGCAGGTAAAAGTGTCTTACATCTGTACGCATGAGCAGTATAAGAACGAAATCGGGGTTTTTTTTTGTTGTTGTTTTAGTGTGGATGATGGAAATAACTGAAAAAGACAGTGTGGAACGTTTATAAACAAAACCTCCATTATTCGGATTACTGTAGACACACTAAATTGTTGTAAATATGATGAAAAGTCATGGAAATAAACTTTTTGTAAGTGAAAATCATGGAAAAGTCCTTTGGGTTAGAGTGGGAATCCTTGTTTAAAGTGGGCGGAGCTACCTGAGACACCTTGACTAAAACAAACGTAACGTCACCAACAATAACAGCTTCGGCACATGTTGATTGTCAGGTTCATAATAACGTCATTGCTGTGGCAACCTGTCAGGACACAGTGAGAAAGAGTCATGATTCCCTCAGAGCGGCCAGGGCAGGTCACTGAAGTCCACTGGTCCCCCAAGACCCGCGTCGGCCTCCAGCAGGCTCATGATGATGGCCATCGCCGCTTCATCACTGCTGGGGCTGCTTGAGCCCGGCTCGTCCATGATGTCACCGATCCCAATGTGAGAATTATCACCTGTAAACCAGAGACCGTACTGTGAGCCGTTTCATAAATAATGCTGACCAATGAATAGTTAATACATCTTTAAAGCTTACTTAAAATGGAGCTGTTTGAGTATGGGTATCCTATGCTGTCCTGGCCTGACCCCAGCCCTGCAGAGGGAATGTCTGGAGTCCCGCCATTGGACATCTTGAGCAGTTAGGAGAAAAAAGAAAGAAAAACAATTGGAAGATACATTAAAGGGTAGCTATATTATGCCACTTTTTTCAGAGATGTAAAATGAGTCTGATATCCCTTAAATGTGTACGTTAAGCTTCAGAATACCACACAAATCATTTTTTGGAACTCTTTGAAAAGGCCCCTTATTAGGCTTTGATGCACACTGTGCTGTTTTAGCGACTGTTGCTTTAAATGTAAATGAGATTGTGCTCCCAGCCCTCTTTTCAAAAATAGTCTATGGAGAATACGGTGTTTATTTGTGCATTGTAAAACTCATCAATCGTGACGCTGTAATGCCTCATTCACACTAGCAGCGACTTTGTAGCTGCCTGACGCTCTGGGTGGCGACCTGCTGCAAACAGGTCTGTGTAGGTCTACAGCATGGAGAATACAACCAGCCCCTAAGCGAGCTGAGAGAGGCTTACGTGAGCTCTACTGGCTGTCGCTCAAGAAAGTCGCTCTTTATTTGCATAAAGTTGAAAGATTCTCAACTATAACAAAATAACACCCATAACGTCTATAACACCACAAGCCCCTGTACAGGTTAGTAACAAACTAAAACACTATAGATGGAGCAGCGTGGCACGCTATACAATGTTCTTAGAGCACCGACTAATACATTGACATTAATGCTTGTATACTTATTGTGCTTTCACATCTGTAGTTCGCTTCATTTGGTCCGGACCAAGGGCAATAAATGATACATTGTTGCATTTTCCGTCTTTGGGTCGTTTTCACACCACACTGCTGGCTTTGGTCTGAACCAGTTGGAACGAATCAAAATGCAGTCATCTGACAAAATTCCCATCTCTCATTGGGCGGGTGTTGTTAAACATATTTCCTAAACTGCTTATTGATTGGTCAGAAATTACGTGCGGGAAATGCTAATGAACTCACGCAGGTAAACAAAACCGGCAGACACAAAATGTTGTTTTTATTTTAGAGGGACGACTGCGCTGACCGATTGTATCCCTGCTTTAGACAAACAATATATTTCGAGAATGAAGCGTGGCCACGGCTGTAAAACAGTGTTCTAATGCATCACTCGTCACTCGTTCAGAGGGGGAGGCGTAAATTAATTTACCTAAACTGCGACATGGTCATCTTGCGGAAATATTACCAACGATTCACCAGGTAATGTTTTCCTCTCTCTCTCTCTCTCTCTCTCTCTCTGTTGGTAAAGCGCTGTCAACAAATATTGTTCCTCCATATCCTATAATGCACAGCGCATCGGCCTACAGCAGCTGGATTAGTCCAAAAGGCGCAGTACTTTTTGCGGTTGGACCTGTTTTAGTACGGATCATGTTCTCACCACAAACGAACCGCTCCAGGGTTCGTTTGAAAGCGTACCGAGACCACCTCCTCAGCAGGTCTTGGTACGCTTATTTGGTCGCTTTAGGTGCGCACTCAAGTACTATTGCTGCATTCTCACCTGCCCAAACGAACCGCACCAAAAGGGAAAACGAACTCTAGTGCGATTCAATCCAACTAAACAAGGCAGGTGTGAAAGCACCCTTAGACTGTAAAAGGCTATCTAAGGGGATAGACCTTCATCTCTAAACTTATAATACTATTTGAATCATAAAGTGATAACTCAAAGTTATTAATAGTTTAAGTAAATCGGTCTGCTTAATTCTATAGTACTGATCATAGCATGACTAAATAGCTCTGTTTGATTTAGCAGATAGCAGCTCTATGGGGACTAATCTGAGTAAGTAGAGTTCTGCCATTTTAGGATAGCGGTAAATCGTAAACTGTTTAGTGACCAAGACTGACATGCTTGTGTTTGAGATTAAATACTCGGCCGGTACAAGACTCAGGATGTTATAGGAATCCAAATGAACGAGAATAATATACAATAACAAACCGAAGAGAATATTCAATCTTAATCTAATGTATTATTAAAAGAAACAAAACAATCTTATCAATGTTTTATAATTGGAGTCAGATAAAACAAGGATAAATATATAAATATTCTAAACCACCTCATACTAAAATTGGAGTCAGATATGAGTTACATTTAAAGTAAATCAACATTGTGCACTGGAAAGACCGAACATGCAGTAAACCTTCGCCCACCAGTAGACACTGTCATTGGACTAACTGGCTGGACCTTATGGCTAATAATTCTGACTTCCCACTGTATATTGTGATACAGCTACAATTTCACCAGATCACTTGAATAGCTTTATTTTTCATTAAAGTCATTAACTTAGATTGGAGAATGGAGCAGAAGCGTTACCTTTCTGGCAGCCGGTGAGGAGGTGTCGGGAGGAGGTGTGCTGTTGGAGATATTCAGCGGGCTTGAGCCACAGCTAGAGGGCGACGAGCCTCGTATCCTGTCAGGTTAGAGCATTAAAACCACATGAGACGTCAACGGAATCACGATTTAAGAGTCTAATAAAACTGTAACCTGATCATTCTTACCTGTGAATCTCCATCACTTCTTCTGCGATCATGCGGCCGATCTTCCCTGCTCCTGCTCTTGTGCCTCCGGGGAGTCCAGGAACGGTTTTCCCTGAGCCTGCAGAGCGACATCATGAAAAAACCCTGTTATGCTGGATTCACATCACGTCATTTAAAGTCAGTGTGATTTGGAAGTTGCAGAGACTTTTATTTCAAGAGTTCACACTTGGCTTATGATTGATTATAAAGCTTGTCCCGGGAGAGAGCCCTGAGCTCATAAGATCCTCAAGCCCGGGGCTCCCTCCTGTTTGCAGGGGGAGAGGGGGGTTTGAGCTCAGGTAGATCTCGAGAACTCCCCTGCTGTAGTAGCTAATGAACAGATAGTGGTTGCTCTTAAAAGATAACTACTTACTATGAGCATGTCTATGGTGCTGATTTGGATTAGCCAATTAACTTAACTTGTTAGAGCAACCGACTCCCATGCGGAAAGTCGCCGGTTCAATACCAGCTCGGAGCAGGTTGGGTGGCGTAAGACTGGCAGGGTTACATTATATAATGCTTTGAATATTAAAGTCAGTACAGTTAGTTCTTTAATATCTGTCTAGCACTAAGCGAAATCCTGATTATATATGCTCAGATGTGTTCTGATTGACTGTGTCAATGACATTGTGCACAGAAATGACCAGAGCCGGTATTCAGCAGTCACTACGATGTAATCTGTGTTAAAGAGGTCCTATTATGCCCCCTTAAACAACATGTAAGATACGTCTCAAATGTGTGTATCTGAAGTTTCAGCTCAAAATACCACAGACAATGTTTTAGAACTCTTTGAAACTGAAGCTTTGATCCCAGTTGTGCCATTTTGGTGACCGTTGCTTTAAATTCAAATGAGATTGTGCTCATTTCAAAAGGGGGCGGAGCTACAAACGCCTATGCATCAGCATAGTGGCAGATTCAAAACTCGAATGGCGAATGGCTGCTTCTCACTCAGGGTTGTTTATGCTAATGAGGGTGAGATCATCACTAATGGGCGGGCCTTAGGGAGACAAAGGGAGAATGTCAATCAAAGTGTTTCTGCAGACTGCTTTTATCAAGTGTGAGTATACAAAATAGAATGAATTGTTTTTTACTATTTGAAACTGGTGATAGTCACACACTCTTGCCACACAACTGGGTTTAAACCCCTTATAAAAGTGATTTTTTGCATAAAAGGCCCCCTTTAAGAGTGAATAAAATCCACCCACCGTCAGCAGCTGTAAGAACACTGTCCATACTCTGGGGGGAGGCAGAGAGCTGTGGAAAACCAGGCTCCGCTCCATCAACCGAACTGCCCCTGACAATAAAAAACACAGCCATTTCTGTCAATACGCCATCATAGAACAACACAGCATCCTGTTTCATCTGGAGCACTTACGAGACGACTGTATTGGTAGACACGATGTATTCTACTTCTTTGGTCCAAGGGTTCATGAAACTGAACCAGCGACTTCTTAAAGTTATAAAAGAGCCATCTTTAATCTTGAACTTGTAACAGTGAGTGTTGATCTTCTCTCTCATTTGTAGGACTGCGAACAGAGAAATAAAGAGCCTATCATCAGATGAGCTATTGATATGCAGTTGACATCAGAATTATTGGCCCTCTTTTTAAATATTTCCCAAATGGTTTAACAGCACAAGAATGTTTTCACAGTATTTCCTATAGTATTTTTTCTTCTGGAGAAAGAAATTGGTTTTATTTCAGCTAAAATGAAAGCGTTTTTGAATTTTTCATGGCCATATTATAACAGAGTTTCTGCAGGTTTCACTAATGCCGAGTTCAGACTGCATGATTTTCAAAGTAGTCGTGTCACAGATGTTTTCACACTGGGCTAGCGTTTTGTCGCTGCTTTGTTTACACTGCAAGATGGACGGCGACAGGGACTTTCACATTGCATGACTTTACTATAGGAAGAATCGCCAACAACTTCGTCCAAACTACGTCTCACAGCCAAAAACACGTAGCATATCTTTTGTTATTAACTACATAATGAGAAAGAAGCCTTTAATGGAGTAGAACATGTACATATTTGCTCACCTGGGTTTAAAGGGAATTAGCCATTTCTCCTCAACGTTGATAATAAACTAATTTCTTTCTGTATGAAACGTCAAACAGACACGGTTGCTCCTGAGTCTTGTCAAACCTCCACTAGTTTTTCCTCCATTTCGTGGGTCCAAATAAACCGAAAAAGAGCGCTTTTAACTTCTCCCCCAGCCTCCCGCTGGCCTGCAGCAGCTATACACACACGCACACACAAGTGAATGCTGCTCTCTCATTGGCTGTAGGCGATCGCTGATGTTATTTTCAGTCAAAACTCAATTCACACGGCATGATTTGAATCGCCGACAGCTCCAGATATTCAGCACGCCAAATATCTCGCAGACATCGGCGACTCATCGGCGATTCTCTCAGATCGCGTCTTTGATAGTTCATACTGTGTGATTGTCACTCACGTGCACGAGCAGCGATTTGCCTGGGATTTCAGGCATTTGTCGGCGATTTCTCAAAACCTGTCGGCGAGCCAAAATCGGGGCTTAAATCACGCAGTCTGAACTAGGCATAAGTTAAATTTAAGACTTTTTAAAACCACCATGAATGAAATTTTAGACTTATACAGGGCTAAATGCTAAGGATTTTTTTTCGAATCTCCCAGTGAGAAAAGATTTCCACTTTGCCCTATCAAAAATGATTCTAATTTAATACATTTAATAACACAATAATAATTTTGTTTTAGCAGTTTTTAAATATATCCATTCACAAACCTTATAACCCTTACCAAAAACAGAACCATACATAGCTGCCAATTACTTCAGTCTACAATAATTATACTTTAATAATAAATATATATAGGTCAGGTCAGTATCCTCAGCAGTAAATAAATGGAGAACTTTAAAGCAAATGTTACTGTGAGGAAAATAATTAAATGCTCTTTTTAAACAAAACATTTTATTGAGATTGGGATTGTTGGTGATTGTATAGGTGTTATTGTCCAGCTTGGGTAGCTATACATGAACAAAGAAAAATGAAGAAAGATTTAAGACCTGCAACACAACATTTCAGTAGATTTTAGACTTTCTAAGGACTAAAGCTTTTGAGATTTAAGACTTTTTAAGACTCTACGGATACCCTGTATTAGCCCTCCTGAGGAATATTTATTTCGATTGTCCACAGAACAAACCATCAGTACTTGTGTAATTAACTTGCCAAGTTAACCTAGTTAAGCCTTTTAATGTCACTTTAAGCTGAATACTAGTATCTTGAAAAATATCTAGTCAAATATTATTTACTGTCATCATGACAAAGATCAAATAAATCTGTTAATAGAAATGAGTTATTAAAACTATTATCTTTAGAAATGTGTTGAAAATAATCTTCTTTCTGCTAAACAAATATTGGGGAAAAATATGAGCCTTCTCTATTCAGGACTGTGTTATTTCACCTTGTCTATGGCATTCAGCGAGATGCCCGATGTCATCCTGATGGAAATACTCATAGAAAGACGTGCCCAGAAGCTCTTGAGGTAGATAAGCAAGAATGGCTGTGGCCCTGAAATGAAATAAGGCATCCGTCACATACAGAGCAATTCAATACTGTACAAATAAAAGGCTACATCTTCTTTTTAAGGCATAGTTCACCCAAAACTGGAAATTCCGTCATTTACTCACTCTTCACTTGTCACAAATCCATTCGAGTTTCTTTTTTTACTGCTAACCGCATAGGATGATCAAAAATAAAAATGTTGCAAACCGGTAACCATTGACTTCCATAATAAGAAAAGGAAAAGTAATATTATGAAAGTCAATGGTTAAAGGTGTCTGAAAGTTTTTAAAATATGTTGTTTTGTATCGAGGACCAGGAAATAAAATGAAGAAACAAAATATCAAGTTAATAATAGAAGCGGCGACACAGTGGCTCAGTGGTTAGTACTGTTGCCTCATAGCAAGAAGGTCACTGGTTGGAGTCCCGGCTGGGTCAGTTGGCATTGCTGTGTGGAGTTTGCATGTTCTCCCATGTTAGTGTGGGTTTCCTCCAGGTGCTCTGGTTTCCCCCACAGTCCAAAGACATGTGGTATGAGTGAATTGAATAAGCTAAATTATCCAAATCCAAAAATAATAATGTCTACCCAGTGAATCAGTCTACACTTGACTAATTAAATCAAATGTGCAGTCAACTAGGATATACTTGTCAAAAAACAATGCATCCATACCTAAATATACTTTGTTTCAAGCCTTATATAATTTAAACATCTGTTAAACAAATGTGACTTTATTTTTGAATATTTAACAAAGTTAAGTTTTGTTTTGATTTTATGTACACCATGTGTTACATACATAATTAATCTAAAAAATACACAAATATAAATCATGTCAAAACTAATTTAAATGATATGTGATTAATCGCGGTAATTTGAATCTAATAATTAAATCTTAATAATCTTTTTTTTTAAGTAATATTGGCTTTTAATCGAAACGTGCCTTCTCCCAGTGATGAATGTAAAATAAAATATGTTGTCATAAGTGCAGATAACAATTTCTTTTATTAAATCTTAATACTTCAGTCAAAACTTAAATAATTGAATCAAATGTGTCATCAACGAATCAAATGAGTCAAATAAGATATACTTTGCCAAAAAAAAATAATAATCATATATCAAAACACTAAGAGTCAATCAGCTTAATCAAAATATGTAAATAAATAATATATTAATTGATTTGTTATTCGTTTTTCCAAATGTCAAATTAAGTTACACTAAATAAAGATGGTACAATATTTCTCCAATATTTTGAAATGTCATTTTCTTAATCCTTAAACTAGATGTAGATTAAGTAGAATAAACCCATTTGATTTTATTTAATTTAGCAGAATTTGAAGTCATATATTCATTCTAATATGGAACATCCCCTGCTATTTCCATTTCATCTCGACTTCAATACAAAAGGAAATGAAGCTTCCACAGGTGCTGCTAACACATAAAAGCCAAAAGGTGGCTTTGTCATCGAGGCATTGAGCAGTATTATTATGCGCAGTGTGTCCTATATTTCAGCCTCTAGCCAGGCCATGACCCTACTTCTAGCTAAACCATTATTCCATGGCTATATCTGGATATTGACCAGCATTGTGCTGGCCAAATCAAATAAGGCATCACGCTAACATCAGAATGGGTCAGAAGGTCACCAACAAGCGTTTGATCCCAAAACTTTATCCATAAGCCGACAAAAAAAAAAAAAAATCTCAACCAATAATTGGTTTTACATAATCGTTTGGGTGACACTTAGGGTGCTTTCACACCTACACTTTTGTTTCAGAACCGGTCTCGTTTGCCCAGTTAGCGCGGTTCTTTTGGCATATGTGAAACCACCAATCGCTCTTGGATCCGCGCCAAATCAATCGCTCCGAGATTGCTTGAATGAGGTGGTCCCAACTCGATTGAAACGAACTCTGGAGTGGATCGATTGCAGTGAGAAAGCGATACGATCCAAGCGCGGTTATATGATTGTGTTTTATGGATATGTACTAGGCATCCAGCTATATAAAGAGAGAATTATGAGTAGGGCAGGAAATCTCCGGATGCCCCCAAACGAGTGATAATCTCCCGGTAATCTCGCATCTCCCTCCCGATCCTCAAATAGGCTACGTCGCGGACCTTTCTCACCCCTCCCCACCGCATCTCTCTTCACTCTTCAGACACGTCACGCGCACCTTGTCAAACACCACCAAACCACCACCTCCCCTGACAGCTTAGCGGGACGCTGCAAAATAAACCCTGACACTCTGACCAATGTGAGGAGAGTTTACTCACACGTGACTTGTTTTAGCTCTTTTGGTCCGATTAGAAACTTTGCAGTGTGAAAGTGAACCGCTCCAAGAGCAAATAGCAACAATGTAACAAATGTTATCTCTGTTTCGGAACAACTGAATCGATTCACAGGTGTGAAAGCACCCTTAGACTTGTGTCATTTTGAATCTGGAAAAGTATCCCCTATTGCATTGGTCATAACGCGTTATTTTAGGTTATTTAAAGGTCCTGTGGAAAAAAGAAATTATTCAATGTTTGACAATCTAAACTGAAAAATTAAGAGAGGGACACGGTACGTAGAGTATTACACCTGCTCAATAAAAATCAGATGATTCACTATATTTATAAACCTGACAAAACTTTATCAGAAATCTAAAAAGGGGAGAAAAAGATTAAGGCATCAATAGAAAGTAACACTGTGGTTAAAAGAGTCTTGCAGATTCCAAACGCACTTACATAACAGTGCCATTGTGGTCCAGTGGTCAGCAGGTTGCATTACGCTGCCGCCAACCCGAGTTCAAACCTCACCTGAGTCATTTTATTATTATCATTTTTATTATTATTATTATTATTATTTATTTATTTTTTTTCATTTTTAGTGTTAAGACATATAATGCAGTTTGGGTTATGCATTTTGGTGTACATATTTAATTTTTATTTTTTTGTGTGAACACCGTTACAAACGACTGGATACCTATAAAGTATTTTGCACAGAATATATATTCAGATTTTGCAGGAAATGACATTGTGATGTTTTAAAGAATAGTGTTGGAGATTTAGCTACCCTTTAATGTTCTCATATTTATGAAAAACAAGTGAAAGCAGCTGCTTCCTTGAAAACTATGTGATCGTGTCATTAGAAACTGAATTGGAAATGTCCTTATTTTAATATAGTCAGTCGTGAACTGAAGTGGGCCCGTCCAAGGCTTGAAACTCCAGGGCTGAAAAGGAGTCCCACTCCGGCCCTGACGTAGCGTGTAGTTAGGACAACGGGGATACAGTGTAACCTGCTCACCTAATGTAAACATTTGTAATATTTATGTTATTTGCTAATTAATAACCACCTCATGTGGAACTCTAAATCTGCGTCTCATTTCTTGGTCTGCTACTTTCGTGCTACTGCTACTGTCCACCAGAAATCGCATTTTTAGTCACGGGCACATGCTTTGAGAGCCTTTACGACTGAATGAATTAAATATCCTGTTTTCCACCAAGGTAACCCGGGGTGCTGAAATATAATTTCAGATAAAAGTGGCAGTGGGCGGGTTAAATGACAGTGGGCGGGTTAAATGACCAAAACAAAGGGCGTACTCACACTATGCTATCCGAACCGTGCCCAGGCCCGTTTTCCGGATCGTTTAAGAAGTGTGAGTGCGGTTCACTTGGGCTTTGGCGCGGTATGTTTGTAGTGTGAATGCAAAACGCGACAAAGCCCGAAACTGAAAGAGAGACGTGACTTTAACTGACTGTTTCATATGGATTTATTAATCAATCTTACTGTTCAATGAACGCAAACTGCCGTAGTTTATTAAAGACGCAAACATCTCACTGCACGACAGCTCCGCACCTTCAGCAGACCTCCTCATTCCTGCAGCACGAGGGCTTTATGATTGTTTATGAGCGTCAAAAGTGTCGGATCTGTTCGGCGAAATATCTGACTGCGTGTCACCGCATCCCTAAGGACTGTTTGGCGAAATATTTGACTGCATGTCACTGCATATCAAACGACTGACACGATATAACTAGAGAAATCTCCACTGCGCTGCTGAGTGAGAGAGCGCTTCTCACTGAACAGCGCAGCATCAATGATGTAAGCGTGCCCAGGCCCGATTGTAGTGTGAGTGCGGGCCGTCGGGGAAGACGGTAGGGGGCGCAAGCGTGCTTTGGCCCGGTTCGAGGCAACTGTACATAGTGCGAGTACGGCCAAGGACAGCAGTTCCGGCACTTAACGAGCATTTGCAAAGCAGAATAACTGACTTCAGAATTGTTTTTCAGATAAACAAGAATGTTCATGTAGCATGTTTCTTTAAATATCTGCAAACATATTATGGTATTTTTATGCTTCAGATGAGTCAAAAACTTACATACAGCAACTTTCAAAAACTCACATAATACTGCTATAAATGAATTTCCGCCATCACTGCTTAACCAAGAGGCTTATAGGATGACACTACAAAAATATCCGTGAAACGTTTGTATTTTAAAACATTTTTGTCCACTAGCAGTCAATTATATCAATTTCTTGTTTGCACACATTCCCCTTTCTGTATTTTGTTTGTGAAATTTAGCAAAAATGTGTTGGCACCTTGAAACATCAACATCATTTCATGTTACATGTTAGGTCACCACTTGCCTTTGGTCCACGAAGACAAACTTCCCATCGATGGCGTGGCGCGAGACATACTCTGTGGGCTTCACCCGGATGTCTCCATTCACGGGTTGTGGGACAATGTGAGGATGTAACCGGCCAATGGCCACTAAGCAGCTGAGATTACAGCCTTCGTTATCAGGCTCATTGTCTTCATCTAAACCCATTTTGGTGGGCGGCCAGCTCTTCAGATAGCCTGTGCTGTGGATGGTGCAGAAGCTCTTGCGATCAGCTGTAGGAAGAAGAAAGCAATATTTAGAAAAATGACTTCTTTCACTAATTAAAACACCAGCAGAGCAGAATACAATATCCAGAGCAATGGGGTATTAGAGGAACATAAACACCTCACTGCCAACTAGTGTTTTGGAAGTGTTTTTGCAGAGGAAAAGAAACAGCAGCAAAAGTATGAATGCACAGCTACGCGCGTTGCTTGAGCCATGGGTCACGCCGATCACTTGACGCAGAATTATAAACCAGGGTTTAGTGTGTATAGATATTTCCCAGAGATGGGTTGCAGATGGAAGGGCATCCGCTGCGTAAAACATATGCTGGATAAGTTGGCGGTTCATTCCGCTGTGGCGACCCCAGATTAATAAAGGGACTAAGCCGGAAAGAAAATGAAAGAATGAATAATAAAATATAATTAGTGCTGTCAATCGATAAAAAAAAATTAACTAATTAATCGCACCTTTTTAAAAAAATAATCGCGATTAATCGCATTTAAAATACTGAAACTTTTAATTTTGGCTATTTAAATGTAAAATTAATGTAAACGCAAGACAAAAAATATTTAAATTCAAAATATAATTGTTTAATAGAATTTTTGTTTAACTTGTAACACAGATTTCTTCATGTGAACAACATACCCACAATAAACCATCAAGATCCTGGCTTGACAGCCATATTTATTAAAGAAATTAAAACACAGGCATGTTAATGACATTTAAATTTCAAAACAATCAATGCCAATAAAGAAAACATTCATTTCCATGTTGGATTCTAAGTGGACTGCAAAAAAATGCCAAAATACAGGAATTGCAGATATGTAAAATGAAAAATTATAATAATAAACTATAGAATACAAACTGTTGCACTCATTGTAAAGTTTTATTGCTGTGACTTGAGAACATTAATTATAGAGTAGAAACAATTTTGCTTAATCCTCCTTTACATTCATCCAGTTGCTAAGACTAGGAGTATCCCGCAAGTGCACAGAGACTCCCAAATGCCCGCAAATGAATGACAATTTCTTGCAAACTGGTTGTTAAATACATTGCACACCCCTCTCACCCCTACTCAGATATGTCGCTCACTCCACCCGACACCCCTCAACGGGCCTGACACAGACACACACAGACACACACACAACGCGCTGCAGACGTTTTGGCCCCAACGGCCTTCCATACTGGAGCGACTCCCCTCAGATTCAACACGTATGATCACGTTCATCAAATTTGCTTAAACTAAGCGTCCTAAAGTATTACTGTATTTCACAAGGATTCTGACACAACAACTCGAAGCATACGCTTTCGTTGCATTTAATGAGGAAACACGCTAAACTTGGAGGGCTCATGCTGAAAGGCAGAGTAATGCCCTGTCTTTGACAGCTCGCGACTTCACCAGAGACGTTCTGAGTACATTCACATAAAACACCAATACTCCGATTTTAATATGAAGATTACACTCTTATTAAAATTCTACCGTGTAGCCTTAAAAGGAACCTTACCTTTAAGGAACATAGAGTCACGAAATGCAGAGTATTTTCTTTCTGTTCGCCATGCGGTATCAACTTACAACAGAAGTCGAAAGTTAAAAATGAAACACCCGAAATTGCATGAAACTTTGGAGAGCCTGGTGATGCGACTAATTGTTTTATACTGAAACTTGCCTTCAAAAAGTGCTTCCTTGGTCTTATCCACATTTATTGCATGTTAAACACACATCCACCACAACAGGAAGTAAAAAAACCTTAACTGCGTTAATTGCGTTAATTTTTTTTAACGCGTTAATTATTTAAAATTAATCACATGCGTTAATGCGTTAAATTTGACAGCGCTAAATATAATATTAATATAATATAATATAATATAATATAATATAATATAATATAATATAATATAATATAATATAATATAATATAATATAATATAATACAATATAATATGATATAATATATAACAGATGCACTTTTGTAGCTTGGCCATATTTATAAATAAGTAAATAAACCAATGAACTGATTTACCTTTCTTTTTGGAGCAAGTCGAGGGAAAATCCTTATCCTCCATTTTGACCATAGACCTGTTGCACTTCATTCTGCAGAAGAAGGAGCGTCGGGCCCCTGAGCACAGTCTGGAGGGACTAGGTGCGATGTCTGTTCTGACCGGCAGCCCGGCTGAGAACATAACAACGCAAATCATTTTAAAAACTGCCACAATGTTTTAAATGTACATAATGAAAGCCTGGTTAAACTATACAACTTTTTTGGAGCATATTTTTCAAGGCAGAGTTTGTCATTTCTACCACTAGAGGGTGCATATTCATTACAAACAAAAACTGCGTCCCAAATGGCACACTATACTCTCATCCACTAAGTACTTATGCACTTACACACTCAACAGTATAGTATATGTATTTAGTGTTGTCCCAAATGGAACACTAACGTTTTTTTGCTGAGCGAAATTTCAACCCGTCTCCCAGATGACGTTTGGCGGTTGCTAAATTAGTGAAATAAATTAACAAAGTACCAAATAATACCTGCCGTGAGTATTACAGTATTGTCCATCGGGAGGCGCTATAATCACTTTCATAGGAGAATTTTGCTTTAACAATCAAAACTAAATAAAGTTATTTAACATGTGCGCCTGATAGCTCCGCCCCTTCCGCTATGTGAGCAAAGCAGCGGTCGTTGAGTGTGTGAAGTGTCCAACATTCCACACTTCATTTTACCAGTCCAATGAGTGCATCATATGCCTAATTAAAGTGCACTTATCATCTTTAGAGTTTTCAGTGTGAACGCACTACATACACTATTTATACAACAAAATGGCGTAGATTAGTGCATTAGTATGCGATTTGGGACACAGCTAAAGGCATAGTTTGATGAAGCTGTGACTGAGTGTGGAATCAAAGTAGTTGCTAAAACACGTTTATGGATGAGCTAAAAGTATTAAAAACTTAATATTATGATGGTTTGAAGTCGAGTAAATCTAAAAACTCTCGAAGCAAAATAAAATACACAACATGGCAAAAAAGCAGCTGAGCTTTTGTTATGCCCAAGTCCCCCGCTTCCGCTCATTTATGCTTATGATAATGTGGAGATAATAACAGTGCTGATTCATCACACTAAATACATGTTATGGTTTTGTTATAATGCTGCTCTGTGCAGTCTAATAAAATAAACATATTAAAGCAAATTTAGTATTTTGTTATTTATCATGCAGCAATTCGTTTTGTTACTGGTGCACCATTTAATACTCATCACTAGCTATGTTTCCATCCAAAAATGCGAATAAACTTTATGCGCAAAACTGGATTATTGCATAAAAGTTGTGCGAATGAGGCAGCATTTCCATCCAACGAGTCAAAGCGAACAAAATCGTCACTTCCTGATTAACTGGCGCCAAATATCAACAGTAAAAACTGCATTTGCTGCAGTAGGAGAAGCTGCATCAATCTTTTTTAAATGAATGCGCCTCAGAAGACAATCCTGACAAGCAGTGAGCGCGCAGTGGCGTTTAAAGGTGTCAGACGCGGAGCACAGGCGCTCTTGATTCTGGAGGTCATTAATAATATAATAACACTAATACTGAAATGGTTTCAAAATAATTAATTTGCTAGTAAAAAAAAAAAAGGAATGGCGTTTATTTTTATTTATTTATTTATTTATTTATTTTTCAGAAAGGCCATTGTGGAGAACGTGACACTTGATGGAGAAAGTCAATACTAATAACAAAAAATAAATAAAATTGCACATTGCATAATGGTCATAGATTCAGATTTTTAAGCTTTAGACTGTGATACCAACAGAACATCTAAGTGAAGCCAATTTTAAGAGCGCATACTGTTTTTCCTTGTTATGCATATGCATACGAGGCATAAACTGCAGAAAAAGCTTTTCTTACTTGAACTTTTTGTTGTTTCTAGTGCAAATATCTGAAAAGGCTTAAATGAAGAAGCATTTTCTAGATAAGGAAAACATATTGCTTTGTTTTAAGAAATAATATGCCAAAATGAAGTGAGTTTTTTTTTAAAACAAGCAAAATAATCTGCCAATGTTGTTAGCAAAATAATCATGTTTTCATTTTGACGAGATTATTTTGCTTGCACAATTGGCAGTTAATATCGCTTGTTTAAAGAAAAAACTCAGCGTTTTGTTTCTAAAAACAAGACAATATTAAGCATTTTTGGTCATTTGAACAAGAAACAATACTAAAAATCTAAGAAGAGCATTTTTTCCAGTGTAGATGTTCTAGGTATATCATGCAGAATATTGGACTCAGGATCAGCCACTTGGTAAAATCAGGATGAGCTTTGTTATAACCACAAATCAGAGGCAAATACTAACTTTTAGCATCGATGAGTCTTTCGCGTGGAGCTGTATCAGATGATGAAAGCTGCTCTTTGACTTTTGCAATATCTTTAGGATGCAAATAATCGAACAAACTCTGGCCAATCAGGTCATTCTGTAAGACGGAGAGAAAACAGATGGTGAGTCACAACACTGTCTGCTGATTTATACAGTTGAAGTCAATGTTATTAGCCCTTCAGCGAGTTTATATAATTGTTTTAAAAATATTTCCCAAATGAAAAAGGGAGAAAGTAATTTTCCACAGTATTTTCTATAATATTTTCTCTTCTGAAATAAGTTTTTTTTTTTATTTCGGCTAGAATAAAAGCAGTTTTTTTAAAAATGATTTTAGGTCAATATTATTAGCCCCCTTAGGCAAGATTTTTTTCAACCGTCTACAGAACAAACCATCGTTAAGACGATTTGCCTAATTACCCTAACCTGCCTAGTTAACTTAATTAACTTTAGGTCACTTTAAGGTGTATACTAGTGTCTTAAAAAATATATAGTAAAATATAATCTACTGTCATCATGACAAAGACAAAATAAATCAGTTATTAGAAATGAGTTATAAAAACTGTAATGTTTAGAAATGTGTTGAAAAATTGTCGTTAAACAGAAATTGGGGAAAAAATATACAGGGGGGCTAATAATTCTAGAGGGCTAATAATTCAGACTTCAACTGTCTATGCATCATATCATGACGTAGTATTTACCTGACTGTAATTTAGAATTTTGTAGACAGACTCTGAGACAAAAAGGATCTTCCCCCGATCGCAGCCCACAACGAATAGAAAACCATCAGCAGCCTGAGAACAAGAGTGAATCATCAGTGAATCACAGCCTGGGTTTATCACCCAGCACATCACAGAAAGACCCATTTTAAGATCACCCACCTTTAAAATTAAGTGCTTCAGCTCATCGTCTGATAAAAAGGCCGGCTTGTAGTTAGCTTCAGTATAAGGGTTTGCAGCACCTTGAAAAGACAGTATAAATGAAGCATATGCAGGAGTGATCGATTAGTAATTGTTCAAACTTGTCCACTACTAATCAAGTCAAAACAGCTTTAATTGTAATTATATTTGCCAATTTTATAAAATAATTGAATGGACATGGTCTGCAACATTACTCAGTTAGGCTGTGGCATTGACACGTTGCTTAATTGATACTAATGGGCCCAAAGTGTGGCAAGAAAATATCCGGTAACACTTTATAATAACTACACACTATAAATCATTTATTAAGCATTAGCAAATAGTGAATTCATGATCTGTTAAGCATTAACTCTACATTAATAAACATTAATAAGCAGTTTATAACTGCAGCTTTAAATGCTCTATTCTTGACTAATAAGCACCTATATAAAGTGTTTAATGATTGTATTTTCATACTTAGTTAATAACTTATTTTTCATTACTACATTAAGTATCACAATATTTACAAACTGTTTGTATTTAAGAGTAGTTGAGGGGTTTTAGGATCATTCAGAATGAGTTAGCAAATGATTAATAAACTATTGAAATCAACATTTATATGTCTTATTATTCAGGCATATAGTAATGGTTACTATATATGATAATAAATGCTTTATTAACTCAACATTATGCAGTTTTGTGACCTAAGCTAAAGTGAGGACTAATCATGCTTTATAAATCTCTTATAAATGACAAATAAAGGCTCAGTTAAATTCTAAACAGGAAGACATGACATTATTCATTCCTATTCATTTAAAGATACACAAATGAAACTGTACTTCAAATGAAAAATAAATCTTTGCAACCTGATCTAAAATAAAATCACTGTAGAGTTTAAACATTGCATCTTATTTTATTGTTTAATTATTATATTGTTGTTGTTTTATCCAGTTGGATGTCATATTTTGACACTCCTGTTATTTGGCAATGTTTAAACTTTACAGTAATTTTACTTTTTAGAAAGATTGCACAGCCTTTATTTGTCATTTATAAGGGATTTATAAAGCATGAATAGTCCTCACTTTAGATTAGGTCACAAAACTGCATGAAGTTGAGTTAACAAAGCATTTATTAACATATTAGTTAACTATTAGTATATACCTGAATATTAAGAATTTGTAAATGTTTATTTCAATAGTTTATTAATCATTTACTAACTCATTCTGAATGATCCTAAAAACCCTCAACTACTCTTAAATACAAACGGTTTGTAAATAATTCGATACTTAATTTAGTAATGAAAAATAAATCATTAACTAAGTATGAAAATACAATCATTAAACACTTTATATAGCTGCTTATAAGTCAAGAATAGAGCATTTGTAGCTGCAGTTATAAACTGCTTAGTAACATTTATTAATATAGAGTTAACACTTAACAATTACTGAGTTCACTATTTGCTAATGCTTAATAAATGATTTATAGTGTGTAGTTATTATAAAGTGTTAAAAAATATCCCCCACACTATTACACCAGCACAAAGCGTTCATACAAAGCAGAATGGATGCATGCTTTCATGTTGTTGATGCCAATGATAATTGTAATTAATAAACAAGCAATAGGCACAAATTCCTCACAATCGCTCGCTCGCTATTAAACCAGAATCAATAATGTTTTGAAGTTAGTGATAATATTAACAGGCAGGGCCGGCGCGTCCATAGAGGCAACCTAGGCAGCCACCTAGGGCGGCAGTATAGAGAGGGCGGCGTCCTCAGTTATGTCCGCGACACCTCCCTCACCACCCGCGTCCTCAGTTTTATTCGCGCATAGGCAACAGAATAGAGAGGGCAGCGTCCGCGACACCTCCTTTACCTCCCTGAGCACCCGCGTGTCCTCAGTTATATCCGCGCATAGGACGGCAAAAAAGAGAGGGCAGCGTCCGCGACACCTCCCTTAAATCCCTCAGCACCCGCGCGTCCTCAGTTATATCCGCGCATAGGATGGCAGAATAGAGAGGGCAGCATCCGCGACACCTCCCTCCCTCCCTCAGGCCCTGTTAACAGGGTTCATACAGGTACAGCCTAACAAAAATCAAAGACTTAAGCACTTTTTTCCAGCAACTATTTTTATTTTCAAGACTGGCACGCAACGTACTGAACACCTGAAATGTATTCTCAGCAACCCATTAAAAAATTCCATAGAAATTTATACAAATAAAAACCATTAATAATAAATAGTAAAATAATTAATTAATCATATATTAATAATATAATAAACCTGCACTAAATGAGCTTGTGAATTGTTGTTTTTTTTTTAGTCAAGTAAAAATACCACTACACTGCTAAAATAATACAAATTTTAGTAAATAATACTAATATTAGGGAAAAGTACAAAGTTCTCTTTTTAAAAAAAACTACTCACAGTACTAGTTAGTTTTTTTTGTTAGTTTCTTTTTTTTTTTATTAATGCAAGAACGATACATACAGAACAATGCCGGAGATATACAAAAATAAAAGGAAAATATAAAAAATTATATAGAGATACAATAACTCAATAGATAAAACAAAATAATATAACAAAAAAAGATTAAAAAATATATTACAAATAAATAATGCTAGGCCTTGTTAACTCACAGTAACTTAAAAGTGTCAAACAAATGAAACTAAAAATCTCAACTCTCTACTAGCCGGGCTTCCAGCTAAATCTATCAAACCTCTTCAGATGCTTCAGAACGCAGCAGCACGAGTGGTCTTTAATGAACCTAAAAACTCATCCGTTTGCACTGGCTGCCAGTTGCTGCTTGCATCAAATTTAAACCTCTGATGTTTGCCTACAAAGCGACTTCTGGCTTTGCTCCTTCTTATCTGCTCTCACTTCTGCAGATTTATGTGCCCTCCAGAAACTTGCGTTCTGTGAATGAACGTCGCCTCGTGGTTCCATCCCAAAGAGGGAAGAAATCACTTTCCCGAACGCTCGCGTTCAATCTGCCCAGTTGGTGGAATGAACTCCCTAACTGCATCAGAACGGCAGAGTCACTCGCTGTCTTCAAGAAACGACTAAAAACTCAACTATTTAGTCTCCACTTTCCTTCCTAATCTGCAATTCCCTCTCTGGCTATACCACTAGCTACTACAAAACAAAACAAAATAAAAATAAGTGAAGTATATTCATAAACACATTTCGAGAGGATTACGTGCTTATGATTGCTCACAGCTGTTCCAACTTTAGCTAATGACTGATTATTCTATCAGACGATCCTTAACTCACTATAAATAACCAGACTTTTCTAATCTCAATATCTTCGTCTTGAAGAAACCCCCCACCCAACCCTACTTTTCCTCCTTTCAAACGGGCGTCACGGTGGCCAGCGATCAGCGCTGTTGCCTCACAGCAAGAATGCCCCTGGTTTAATTCCTTTCCAAACCAGATGGCATTTCTGTGCGGAGTTTGCTCGTTCTCTCCGTGGTCGCATGGGTTTTCCCCGGGTCCTCCGGTTTCCTCCCACAGTTCAAAAACAAGCACTCTAAACAATTAATCAAAATACATTAGCTAAACTCTGAGTACACCATCCAGCATACATATCCGACACTTAGCTACAACAAGCAAGAAGGGGAGTCATCGAGATCTACCTGAGCTCAAACTCCCCTCTCGCCTTGCAACGGAAGGGTGCCCCGGGCTCGAGGATCTTATAAGCTCAGTGCTCTCTCCCGGGACAGCACGCCAAACTAGCTTTACTATCAAACATCAGCTAAGTGTGAACTCTTGAAATAAATAAATAAATACATTTACTAATGTTTTGCTTCTTACACTTTCTTTACATACCTGAAACTTGTCTAGAGCACTTATTCATTGTTGCTCTTATAGTTGTGTAAATTGCTTCCTTGTCCTCATTTGTAAGTCGCTTTGGATAAAAGTGTCTGTTAAATGACTAAATGCAAATGCAAATATACAGTTTTAACAGCTTTTTTGTTTGTACTCTCCTTAATAGTATTTATATAAATATGTAGTTCTGTAAGTACGACTAAAAACAGAGGTTTCTGATTGGTAAATTTACAACGATGGATATAAAACTTGGTAAGTATGATCAGAAGATTTATCACATAAGCTTGACTTTTCAACTTCTTATCATATTTTAAAAAAACAAAAATAACATATTCATACAGTCAAAGAAAATTTGACAGCACTTTATCATTTATTGAATTTAGATACCTTCCCCCATAACCGTTTTGTATATGGACAATGCCAGAAAATATGAGGTACTGTTTCTGGGCAGTAGAAGTCGGTTAGCATTGTCATCGGTCAAGCATCAATCTAATTCTAAATACTGAATAGTTTTTGATTACTTTAGTCCAGGAGCAAAGAAAAATAATTTCTACTTTATTAGTGAAGAGATCACGATTGCATACAGTCTGAGCGCACACACGCGATGATGATTGCAGTTGATTTGAAAAAGCTTGGTTAAGAGCTCGCATATCCGTTTTTTGTGATTAACGAACATGACTGCGCTCTCATGTTAAAATATAGCACTTGTGACATTCGCCGAAATGAGTAATTGCACAATATCTGCATTCCCGCGCCGACATTCACACTGTGTGACAGGTCTGAGGCGAGTTAACTCGCCGTCGGAGAGAAGAGAGCGAAACTTGTGTGTAGATCATCGAAATGGCAGGAAGTATGTGTGCGGTTTAATTACTCTTGCTAATAACATAGACATCTCTATAGTGAAAACATCTGAAAATCATTATTCCAACAAAACATTTGTTTTTCAGTTTTTTTTTTTTTCGGTCAATGTAATACTGAAAGCCCTTTGTCCCGCCCTTACGTTTCATGTAAAGCTAGGCAAGGTCGACTATGATTGGCCACTTTTCATATCAGTCAAATCACAGCTTCGGAATCGCAGTAGTTTGTGCGAGTACTTTTGCATTAAATTGTCACAAAATTCACAAACATTTTTTTTTCCGTCATGAAAACCGCATAGAAGTTCTGCTTATAATTTCAAGCACTTTTCAACAAAACAAGCCAGCTTTCCAGGTATTCCAGGCCTTGAATTTCTTAAAGCCAAATTCAAGCACTTTACTTTAAGCACCTTGTGCGAACTCTGTATTAATAATAATATTATGTAATATTATATTATTATAATTCAGTGCTTCTCGTAAATGAATATTAACGGCCGCCCAAGTATTTGGAGACATTTATTTTTTAATATTACCATGCTTTTACACTTTTTTTGTATTCGCCAATAGCCAAACATCCATTAACCAGTGGAAATTCTTTTCTTGCCCTACATGTGTTCTACTTACATTAACACTCTCACAGAAACGTTCCTTTTGGGACTTTAAAATGCGTCCATCTGGGGTTTCTATATTTTCTAAAATCTCCAGAGTTCGGCTATTGATTTCTAGGGGTGTCAAAATGTATTGTTTCTTCGGTGCACCGCGATGCAGACGCGGACAATTCTGTATCGGTTTAGTAATAATCATAACCGGTTATTATGTACTGACGTCATTTATCTCCTACGCGCTCTGTCGCGAGGGAGGTGAGCGCGAGTATTTACAACACTCAGGCAACTCAGGGCCGGCCCGTGGCATAGGCACCATAGGCATATGCTAAGGTTTTGTTTTCGATTTTTCTGACACACATTCAGTTATAGATGGAAATAACTCAAAAAAGTGCTTCTTTTTTTTTATTTTTTTATTTATTCTGCTCCGCTCAGCGCGAGCTCTCCCTGTTGCGAGGGCTTAAGGGCTTAGTGTGTGTGTTTGTGTGTGTGTGTGTGTTTGTTTGTTTGGTGCTGTCTATGTTTGTGTATGTGTTTGAATGAGAGACAGTGTGGTGCTGTGTGACTGTGCGTTTATACACGCAGCTTGTTATAGCCTGCCCCCTTAAATATATCACTGTATATGGAAAGCATCGTCAATGCACCGTGATGCACCGAGATATTGAATTGAACCGAATCGAAGGCATGATAATCGTAACCGAACCGAACCGTGAGACCAGTATAGGTTCACACCTCTATAGATTTTGCTTTCTAAGTCGTCGTCATTTTTATTTTAAGCCTGATTTTTCTCTTGGCTTTGCAGCTGACAGCGAGTACTGAAAGACGGAGAGAAACATATCATTAATTTAATTAATAAAACCTATTTTGGGTCTGCACTTGTGCCATCTTTTTGGTTTTAACAAACTTATCCCTCAAGTTTTTCTAAGCTTTTTAAAAACTTTCCTCCTTTCCCATGATTGTTGCAATTTCTAGCCAATAATTATTGGTTATCTGGTTCTCCCTATGATCAAACATGGATGAATCATAAAGATGTCCATACAGGCGTACCTGTTTCAGACAAAATATCTTCACAGTGATTCATATTCAACTGAAAACAAATGCGGCGATGCACAAACTCTTCGCGAGAGTCTCAAAAAATGTTGTAAACTCCTTCAGCCTAAATCATGTCACGCGCACCCAAAGCGAATCTCCGCAAACACCATAATGACCTCATAGTCACCGCGAGCCTCATAGTCATAAAGCGAGCACTCAAGCCAACTAGTGGACGTGCTAAGTATAAACCAGGCTTTACAACACTCAACTATAACATGACTTGTCTAAGAATGACCCACCTCGTAGAGTTTTCATATGCTGGACGGCCATGCGCAGCACCGTGAGCTTGTCCAGCTTGCGGGACATGGCATTGCAGGTAGGCACTAATGAAGCCAGCTCATCGATAAAGCTGTTCATCTTGTCTCTGCGTCTCTTCTCTATCTGACTGTGAGCCTCTCTGTTGACAAGCAAGAATCCAAAACAGAGATACAGTTAGAAGAAATGGCACACATTATGAATTCAAATCATCTTCATCCATTAATAAAACACATAGATAAGCTCTGGATTACAACACCTTGCGTTCTTCATCTGCTGATCGGCCCTGTTGAGAGAAAAGTGTGGAGTTTAATGTTCCAGAAATAAAAACAGCAGGAACCTACAGTATATAAACAGGTGCAGCGGCTGGTCAAACATTCTATTGTCCCAAAATATTTAAAATTATTATGATTTTCATTGCAATCCAAAAAAGAAACATGAATGGTGAATGAAAAAATAAAAATAAAAATGAAGAAATTAGTAAGATTCTGTGATAACACTTTACTTGAAGGGGGTGTTCATAAGACTATCATGACACCTTTTTAATCATAACATGACATATAATCATGAAGATGAAGGAGATTTTAGACTTAAAGGTTTAGTAATCTGAATTACGGAGACTCCTTCCCCCAACTTCAAGAGCCCTATCATACACCCGGCGCAAGACGCGGCGCAATAGTCTTTTGGTAGTTTCAGCTTGGCGCAAGAGTCGGTTTGAGGCGTTGCGCTACGCTGTTTAAATAGCAAATGCATTAGCGCTCATTTGTGCGCCCATAGGCGTTCTGGTCTAAAAAGGAAGGCGTTCTGAGGCGCACTGCTGGCGCGTTGCTATTTTGAGAAACTATAATAGATTTTTCATTAGACCAAAACAAACCCGGTCTAAACTCCGGCGCAGAGTTGCGCCTCGCTTACACACTGCTTAATACGCACAAGAGAGCAACAGGCAAATATCTTTACATATGAAAACAATTTAAATATTAAGGATATATATAGGATATAATAAGAATAGATATAGGATATAAATATAAAGGATTAAAATATCACAAAACATATTATTTTCTAGCCTACATAAATATGAAAAATCACTGCTGTCTTTTTCATCTCAGGAGGCTTTTTCAGTTCATTCATAACTATTTGCTTTTGTATAATGTTATTATTATTAGCAGTATTATTTATTATATTCATATTTATATTTGTTTTATTAAAACAAGCTTAGATTTGCCCACCTGTCAGGTTTTAGACCATATGGGGCACAGCATGTGTTTTAGGATATAACTCAGTATTTTGACCACACTTGGTCATTATTGTTCATTTATTTGTTTGCTAGAAATTAGAACTGAATTTAGAAATAGTTTTGAAACAAATATTTGCGCTTAACAAACTAAATTAATTATTTATAGGCTAATTGATGTCTGTGCGTAAAGGTTCCCCTATCCAAGAGCGAATGTAAAAGTAGATCCATTATCTCTCATTCTCACGCAGTAGATGCTCTGTTTAACTGTTTTCTGTTAAAAAACTGTCAACTGTTAACTGTTTGCTAGTGAAATGCTCATTTTTTCCACTTAGACTTACTTTGTAAATAGCGAATGTGCTCTTGGCGCGACGCAGCTGGCTCTTAAAGGGAATGGGAGATGAGACTCTAATTGGTTTATTCTCAAAACACACCTTTAACTCATTAAGAAAATAAACTCAACCCTTTTAGACCATGCGCCGCAGCGCAAAGCGCATTTTCCCCTCCGTAAATTAGCAAAAATTTTAGCAAATGTTTTTTTTTTTTCAGCATTGTTTTAAATATCTCAATTTATTAATTTATTGATTTAATTTAATTATTTAATTTATTTGATTTATTTTAGGTTGGGTTAATATTACCTTTACTTAACCTTTAATACATGTAAAGTTTTTTAGAACTTTTTAGTGTAGATTTTGTTTATATACAGGGCTTGACATTAACTTTTTTGTTCACCAGTCACTGTGGCTGGTAGTTTTCCAACGTTACTAGTTACTTATCATTTTTACTAGCCACATTTTTTTTAAACAATTTTTTAAACAACAGTTTTTGGAAAAATATCATTTATATAGGTGGGCATAGATTAATTTAAAAAAAAAATCTAGATTAATCTCACTGTAATCTTGGAATTAAGATTAATCTAAATTAAAATGGCTCATTTGAATTCTGCCAAAGGCATTCAGAATATGAGTGCTGCCCAGATAGCACACAAAGCCCATGTAAACCGCGCTCTAGCACACCGCACTCTGGCACTTGGGCTCTTGCGCGATACGCTTGTAGAGTGAGTGCAAAGTGCGCCTGAGCCCAAAACTGACAATGAGATGTGACTTTTAATGGACTGTTTGATATGGATTTATTAATCATTCTTACTATTCAATTAACTCAAACTGTTTCAGATTATTAAAGACACAAACCCCACAGCTGCACCTTCAGCAAATCTCCCAATTCCTGCAGCACGAGGACTTTATGTTTAGCTTTGGCTCAGTTTAAGACAACTGTACATAGTGTGAGTATGCCCATAATGACAGTTGTCATAAGCATGCATGAAATCCTCATCATATTCATGACAAGAGTCGTGTCATGATTATACAAGTTTAACAACATTACCAACACCCCCTTTAACCTCTTAAAGCCCAAGGTGTTTTATTACATGCATTTTTTAAATTCTCATTGCTATTTTAGCTTATTGGAACATAATTCGAATTTGAAAACCTAAGTATCATCTTGTGATATGATGTACTTTTAGAGAAAAATTATGTCATAGATGTGGAATTGTGGTCTGAGTTTAAATAAAACACTGTTTCCTGACTTAATTACTAACATTATTAACACTTAAATATTTATGTGTTATTAATGATTTAATAACACATAAATATTTTTATAACACGTTTTGAATATCAGAGAGTAAAATTACAATTTTTTGCTCATTTTGGACAGTTAAAAATAGTGTTTGGGACATTAAATAAGCTGCAAATCAGTTGCAGGATGACACTGTATGTCTGTAACAAAATATAAAACATTCAAAGTGTTTTAAAAAGCCACTTAAGAGCTAAAATGCTGTCCATGTATGTGGCCACTAAGCCCTAAGAGGTTAAGTAAAGCATTACCAATTTGAGTTTTAACTTCCAAGGTAGTTTACCTTCCAAGTGGTTTGTCCTTGTCTGTGTCCATACTGTCCCTTTAAAATAAACAATAACATACACATTAGCCTAAATAGCTCAAATAGCTCACGAGCTGACTTGTCAATACAAAACACTGTACACACATCTATACTCAAATAAATCATTTCTCAAACCACATGAAAGTTCTCTTTAAAGCAAAATAATAGCCCTCTCTTAAAGGGATTTTTATTATAGTCCATATATAATTCCACCTCTGATTCATTTATCCTAACTCAATGTCATTAGAGGACAAGAATCCCACAATATACTACCAGTATGAAATATGTTATGACTCGATATGATATAACTCCCATTTAATGCATCATTAGCTGTTTCATAATGGCTGGTTTCATAACGGACCAGAATGTGAGAAGTTTTACACGCTGTTTACCTAAGGCCTTGACACTCAGATAACATCTACTGTACTGTAGATTATTTCTCCCCTTGTTGGTTAAATAACTGCTCTACATTCAAACTTTGTAGTTACCTAAACTCCTGTGGCCTAAATAGCTGATTATAACTAACAATTTAGGTAACAAATGAAGAGTTCAGATGTAAAAACCTTAAAGTTCCATCTGAAATGTTCTTCTAAAATGACTATTTATTTCCTGTGATATTAATATTCTATAAATATTATATTTTAGTGAAAATAAGTGTTTCATTCATTCATTTTCTTTTCGTCCCTTTATTTATCTGTGGTCGCCACAGCGGAATGAACCGCCAACTTATCCAGCATATGTTTTACGCAGCGGATGCCCTTCCAGCTGCAACCCATCACTGGGAAACACTCATATACACTCATTCACACACATGCACTACGGACAATTTTAGCTTACCCAATTCACCTATACTGCATGTTTTTGGACTTGTGGGGGAAACCAGAGCACCCGGAGGAAACCCACGCGAATGCGGGGAGAACATGCAAACTCCACACAGAAATGTCAACTGACCCAGCCGAAGCGCGAACCAGCGACCTTCTAGCTGTAAGGCGACAGCACTACATACAGCGAATAAGTGTTTCAGTACTGGTAATTAAATAAATGTTTATTGTCAAACATACGTCTTCAAATCATATTGTGCAAGTTTGTCTTAAAAACATTAGCTTAATACTCAGCAGATAGGTAGAGTCTGGTTAAACTAGATTGAAATGAGAGAATAAGATACAAAAGAAAAGGTGTTTGCACTTAATAAAGTTTCATTTATGTCCCCAAACTGCTGTAAGATCAATTTATGAACTGACAGCTCAATGATCATGGCTGTTTAGGTACTGATATTAAAGATAATACAGTGCATCTGAGAAGTATTCATAGCGCTTCACTTTTTAATTGGAGTTCACCTGTGGTAAATTCAGTTGATTGGACATGATTTGACAAGGCATACACCTGTCTATATAAGGTCCCAGGGTTGACAGTGCATGTCAAAGCACAAACCAAGCATGAAGACAGAGGAATTGTCTGTAGACCTCCGTGACAGGATTGTCTCGAGGCACAAGGCTGGGGAAGGTTACAGAAAAAATTCTGCTGCTCTGAAAGTTCCAGTGAGCACATTGACCTCCATCATCCATAAGTGGAAGATGTTTGGAACCACCAGGAGCTATCCGGCCATCTAAGCTGAGTGATCGGGGGAGAAGGAACTTAGTAAGGGAGGTGATCAATAACTCGATGGTGACTCTGTCTGAGCTCCAACGTTCTTCTGTGGAGAGAGGAGAACCTTTTAGAAGAACAACCATCTGTGCAGCACTTAAATTGAACTCTTTGGAGTGAATGCCAGACGTTACGTTTGAAGAAAACCAGGCACCGCTCATAACCAGGCTAATACCATCTCTACAGTGAAGCATGGTGGTGGCAGCATCATGCTGTGGGGATGTTTTTCAGCAGAAGGAACTGGAAGACTATAGTCAGGATAGAGGGAAAGATGAATGCAGCAATGTACAGAGACATCCTGAATGAAAACCTGCTTCAGAGTGCTCTTGACCTCAGACTGGGGTGACGCTTCATCTTCCAGCAGGACGATGACTCAAAGCACACTGCCAAAATATCAATAGAGTGGCTTTGCAACAACTCTAGGAATGTCCTTGAGTGGCCCAGCCAGAGCCCAGATCTAAATCCTATTAAACATCTCTGGAGAGATCTAAAAATGGCTGTACACTGTCGCTTTTCATCCAACCTGAAAGAGCTTGAGAGGTACTGCAAAGAGGAATAGGCAAAAATTCCTAAAGACAGGTGTGCCAAGCTTGTGGCATCATATTCAAAAAGACTTGAGGCTGTAATTGCTGCCAAAGGTGCATCAACAAAGTATTGAGCAAAGGCTGTGAATACTGATGTACATGTGATTTTCCAGGTTTTTTATTTTTAATAAATTTGCAGCAATTTCAAAAACTTTTTCACATTGTCATTATGGGGTATTGTGTGTAGAATTTTGAGGAAATACATTAATATAATCCATTTTGGAATAAGGCTGTAACATTTTTAAAAATGTGAAAAAAGTGAAGAGCTATGAATACTTTCCGGATGCACTGTATGGTCACAGATTTGGGTCTTGAACACTTTGTGTCTCTGCATGAAGTGAGAAGTCAGATATCAAAAGGTTCTGAAGTACATTAAAGTTTTAAAACAAGAACAGACTGTTCAGTTTGACCAGCTGGCATCTCTTCATCCATACTCACTGACCGGTCACTCTCAGGGGACTGTGTGAGCTGTGAGCTTGGGATGAGGAATCTCATCCATGAAGAGTCAGATCTAAGAGGATAAAATTGGTATTTTTCTCAAAACCAAAGAGCTGATATATTTCTTTTTTTTTTTTTTTAATTAGACGTGTTTGTCCTTAAAGGAACACTCCACTTTTTGTGGAAGTAGGCTCATTTTACAACTCCCCTAGAGTAAACCAGTTGGGTTTTACCATTTTTGAATCCATTCAGCCAATCTCTGTATCTGTCAGGACATTTTTAGCTTAGCTTAGCATAAAGCATTAAATCGGATTAGACCATTAGCTCAAAAAAGATTTTCGATCATTTTTATATTTAAAGCTTCACCCTTCTGTACTTACATTGTGTACTAGGTAAATTTAAAATTAAAAGTAGCTATTTTCTAGGCTGATAATCAAGGAATTTTGCTGCCCTACCATGGTGATGTAACTGCAGAAAAGTCAAGATTTTAATAGAAAAATTATAAAAAATTATTTGATAATTTTTGTTAATTTCCACTAAAGGAGTTGTAATTGTTTTTTTTTTTTTAAGTGGAGTGTTCCTTTAAACAGAAAGACAAACACTTACAAATGCGTTCTCTGTCTGTAGCTAGTGTTTCAGTGACAGCATGGTAATGTATATTACCTTAACATAACATAGCACATATTATAACATATTATTCTTATAATAGCACTTTTTATATAGTTTATGACCTTGGTTATAGCTTTGTCCTTTTTATAAAAGGAATTAATGGTTTTAAAATAACTTTTTTTTTTTTTTTTTAAATAAAGGTAACTGAGATGTTCTGATACTTACTCAAAAGAAAATCCATCGATTCTGGGAAAAAAAGAAAGACATTGACAAATTAAATTTCAGATCATCTGTTAAATGGAAGATTTTGTCATGTTTCCAGTTTGTATCTTTGATAATACTTTATAAACTATATTTATTTATGTTTATATTTAACTGAATAGAGTATTACTACTGTGGATCACTAATGCAATTAAATGTTATGTGTAGTGTGTGTAGAGAAAACAGAGGCTTTTCAAACCAAAAGTGTGGACAAGAACATTACGCAACTCCATTGTCATTCTTTTATACAACACACTTAGGGCTCTATTTAACGATCTAGGCGCAAAGTCTAAAGCGCATGGCGTTAAAGCATTAAGAGTGTGTCCGAATCCACTTTTGCTATTTTTAAGGATGGAAAAATACGCTCTGTGCCGCGGCTTGGGTTGAGCTTATTCTCTTAATGAGTTCTGAGTGTGTTTTGAGCATAACGTGCATTAAACCAATGAGAGTCCTATCTCTCATTCCCTTTAAGAGTTAGTTGTGTCGCGCCATGACGCATTTGCTATTTACATGGCGTACTTTGTAAGAAGAAAAACTGAACGATTCACTAGCGAGAAAACATTTTAACAGACCATCTGCAGGGAGGAATGATCCTTCTCCATTCGGCCTCTTTGCTTTCTCTTTACTTTACTTTTACTCTTTACTCCTTTACTTTCGTGAATAAGGAAACTGTGTTATACGCACTCCACTGAAGACATCCATTAGCCTACATATTTAATTTTGTTTGTTAGGCACAAAGATTTGTTTAAAACTATTTCTAAATCCAGTTCTAATTTCCAGCAAACGAATGTGTGTTAAACATGTGGTCAAAGAGTTATATCCAAACACACGTCCTATTGTTATGCCCCATATGGTATCTCTTACTCATAGTCGGTGATGCTGCCCTTCCTCTTGCGGTTGAAGTCCATGCCTGTGGAACCCATGGAGCTGCTGATCAGCTCAGTGGAACTGGGAGACATGAACTCATTCATCGTGGAGGAGATGTCCATTCTTTGGTCTGCCATTAGATCATCTGCAATAAATACAAACAGCCATTTATTACTGCATAGACACAATTGAAGTATTTATTTATTTATTTATTTAATAAAAGTTGTGATAATTTTATTCACAAGCGCTGTTTAATGGAGAGATTTTATGTCCGACCCATTTCTAAACATAATAGTTTTAATAACTCATTTCTGATAACTGATCTCTTTTGTTTTTGCCATGATGACAGTACACTGTAATAAATGCTGGTTCCACTCAAATGATTTGTGTTGGAATTCATTCATTCATTTTCATTCGGTTTAGTCCCTTTATTCATCAGGGGTCACCACAGCGGAATGAACTGCCAACTTATCCAGAATATGCTTTACACAGCGGATGTCCTTCCAGCTGCAACCCAGTACTGGAAATCATCCATACACACCCATTCACACACATACACTACGGCCAATTTAGCTTATTCAATTCACCTATAGTGCATGACTTTGGACTGTGGGAGTAAACCCGGGTAGCACCCGGAGGAAACCCACGCCAACATGGGGAGAACATGCAAACTCCACACAGAAATGCTAGCAGGCACAGCCGAGTCTCAAGCCAGCGACTTTCTTGCTGTGAGGTGAAATTGTTAACCACTGAGCCACCATGACAACATCATCATGAAGGAATTAAGTTTACTTATTAGTTTTTACACACTTAAGTATATTGAACATAAAACAATTAGGTTGTCACAACAAAACACTTTAATAATATTTGACTGTTTGCCTCACAGCAAGAAGGTCGCTGGGTCGCTGGTTCGATCCTCGGCTCAGTTGGCGTTTCTGTGTGGAGTTCTCCATGCGTTCACGTGGGTTTCCTACGGATGCTCCGGTTTCCCCCACAATCCAAAGACATGCGGTACAGGTGAATTGGACAATCTAAATTGTGTGTGTGTGTGTGTGTGTATGTGTGAATGTTTCCCAGAGATGGGTTGTGGCTGGAAGGCCATCCGCTGCGTAAAAACTTGCTGAATAAGTTGGCGGTTCATTCCACTGTGGCGACCCCGTATTAATAAAGGGACTAAGCCAACAAGAAAATGAATGAATGAATTGTTAGTTTGCAAGATACTGGTATTTAGGGCTCCACAATATATTGGAAAAAACTGAAATTCCGGTATTTGTTTTTCTGCAATATATATTTAGTGATTTGAATATTATTATTTAATATTCAAAATATTATTATTGCTGGATAAGTTGGCGGTTCATTCCACTGTGGTGACCCTGATGAATATAGGGACTAAGCCTAAGGAAAATGAATGAATAAATATTTTTTTAAAGTGGGTGTTAACCAGTATTGGAAGGCCATCCCCTGTGTAAAACATATGCTAGCTAAGTTGGCGGTTCATTCCGCTGTGGCAAAAATTAAATGAAAAAAAATTTAAATGAATTGATGAATAAAGAGACTAATTTGACGGAAAATGGATGGACATCCTTCCAGCCAAACTGCATTCCTTTCTGGCCAAAACGTCCCCCAGAAGAAAAAAAAATAAATATAGGAAATACTTTGAAAAAGTCTTCTTGCTCTGTTAAACATCACATGGGAAATATTTGGGGAAAAAAAATACAAATAATTTCTAAAATAACTAATAAATTATAATAATTAACTGTAAATAGGTAATAGAAGACTGTAAATAGGTTATAAAAGACTGTAAATAGGATACAGAAGTGCTGAGGTTCAAAGGTTTTTTTTCAGATGATAATGAAAATACTTAATACTAATAATCCATTTTAAAGAGCTGAAAGTATAATAACTCAAGAAATAATTACATAGATACATATAGCAATATTTTAAATTAAATATTTTTTTATTGACTGTTTGTTAGTTTGTAAGATACTAGTATTTAAGGGCTGCTGGATATTGGAAAAAACAGACATTACGGTATTTGTTTTTTTGCGATGTATATTTAGTGATTTGAATATTATTATTTAATGTTCAAAATATTATTATTGCTGGATAAGTTGGTGGTTCATTCCGCTGTGGTGACCCTGATGAATAAAGGGACTAAGCCGAAGGAAAATGAATGAATAAATATTTTTTTTAAAGTAGGTGTTTAACAGTACTGGGTTGCAGCTGGAAGGGCATCCCTTGTGTAAAACATATGCTGGATAAGTTGGCGGTTCATTCCACTGTGGCAAAAATGAAATGAAAAAATGAAAATGAATTGATGAATAAAGAGACTAATTTGAAGGACAATAGATGGACATCCTTCCAGCCAAACTGCATTCCTTTCTAGCCAAAACTTTCTCCAGAGGAAAAAAATATATTGGAAATACTTTTAAAAAAGTCTTCTTGCTCTGTTAAACATCACATGGGAATTATTTGGGGAAAAAAATTACAAATAATTTCTAAAAATACTAATAAATTATAATAATTAACTGTAAATAGGTAAAAGAAGACAGTAAATAGGTTATAAAAGACTGTAAATAGGATACAGAAGTGCTGAAGTTCAAAGGTTTTTTCAGATGATAATGAAAATACTTAATACTAAAAATCCATTTTAAAGAGCTGAAAGTATAATAACCCAAGTAATAATTACATAGATACATTTGCCAATATTTTAAATAAATTTAATGATTTAATTAAACAGATACACAAGTATTATTTCTCACCACAGAGATAGAGGAGGGCTGCTCTTCCTTCATTTCCTGAGGCTTTCTGACACGATCCTCCTCTGAAGAGAAGAGAGTAAAGCAGGATATTTAATCTCCACCCTGGCAAACTTGAGCATTTCATAATCCAGACATGAGAGAGGGAGAGTTTACATGATGCAAGCGAGGAAAGAGACACTGCTGGATGTGAGATACAGGAGGGCTCAGAACTGTAATAATCAGTGTTTATATATACAGCGCTCAGAGTAAATGAGTCCACCCCCTTCTAAAAAATCAATATTTTTATACATTTCTCTGTGAATATAACCACTAATTGTTGGTGCATTTAAACAAAAACAAAAAAAAAATGTGTTATTTAAAACGTTCAAATAAGAGTTTGGTCAGCTAACACCTTTAGAAATGAAAAGCTAATACATTTTAAGTTATTGCGATTTTTTTTATAAAATTACAAACTACAAAAAACTCAACTAAACTAGTTTCTCTTTAGTTTTTCCTGTTTATTAATTTTTATAAATAAATTTGAAAACAATTTTATATAAATGTTTTCTCTTTATTTTATGTTTTTTATACTATTTTAATATTTTATTTTATATAATGTTTTTTCCTGTTTATTCCATTTTTATTTTACTTTAATAACATTTTATTTAATATTATATTTTATTTGTTTATTCAATGTTTATTATTATTTAATAACATTTTATTTTATAATATAGTTTATCCTGTTTATTCATTTATCATATCATTTTATATTAGTTTTTTTTTCTGTAATTTTTTATTATTTTATACAATTTTAATATTTTCTTTTATATATTAGTGTTTTTCCTGTTTATTAAATTTTTTAATTATTTTAAATAACATTTTATTTTATATTAGTTTTTTCCTGTTTATTCCATTTTAATTTTATATTATTTTAAAAATATTTAATTTTATTATTAATTATCAATTATAGTTTTTCTACCTGTGTATTTATTGTTTGTAAAGTTTTTTTTATTTTAAATTAATTTAATATTATAAAAAAAATAATATTATAGTTTTTTTTTCAAAATTTTCATTTTATTTTAATAACATTTTATTTAACATTATTTTTCCCTGTTTATTCAATGTTTATTTTATTTTAATAATATTAAATTTTATGTTACAGGAAACTACTGCATCTTGCATTTTTTGCTGTTGCGTGCTTTGCGCTCGCAGTAAAAAAAAAAATGAACTCTGAGCGGAAAAAGCGTGCTACAACACTCGCATCTTTGTCATTCTCCAATTAAATGAAAGCAGAGTTGCGTTGAGTTGACAGCAGATTTTTGAAAACAGAGGAGAGACTAGTGATTGCTGTTTTGAGTTATCCCAAGTTGTATGACTTCATAAATCTTGAAAATCACAATATAATTAAATATTTAAATTATACCGATATCAACAACAACACTCCCGCACGATAGGCAGCTGATTGAGTCGTTTCTTAGCAAGATAAAAAGCGCAATGTGTTTCTTTTTTTCTCGGCAATGTAAAAGGCAGTGTGGTGCGCCTCGCGTTTTTAGAACGGAAAATCGCATTCGATGTAATCGGCTCCTTAAGCTGCCCCTGCCAAAAAAAATAATAATAAACTAATTTAAAATTAGTTAGAACAAACAGCACAAATATTTTTGGAGTGTACTTTGGGCGACTTTAAAGTCAATTTTATTAATACTTTGCTTGTTCCAAACCCTCATATTTCAAACATTCATCTAGTTGTATCTCACCCAAATCTTGCCCAATTGCATTAAACCCTACACTAACACTCAAAAAAAAACTGCTTGTTCAAACTATTTCAAGAGTTCACCCTTAGCTGATGATTGATTATGGAGGTTGTATGGCATGCTGTCCCGGGAGAGAGCCCTGAACTCATGAGATCCTCGAGCCCAACCCCCCAATTTAGATTTGTCAATTTAGATTTGTCAGTTTACTTATGTTACAAGTTTTTGGTCTGTGGGAGGAAACTGGAGAGCCTGTTGAAAACCCATGCAAACACGAGGAGAACTTGCAAACTCCGCACAGAAACGCCGACCTGGCCAGGAAGTGTCCGAGCCGGTGACATTCTTGCTGTGCGGCCGTGGTGCTAACCACTAGGCCTCCGTGCTGCCCTGACAAGGAAATGGGAAGATTAGGGGTGGAAGGGGGAATTCTTCAAGACGAAGATGACTGAAGTAAGATACTCTGGTTATTTATAGTGGTTAAGGAGTCGTCTGATTGGTAAATCAGTGTTAGCTAATGTAGACCAGGTGCTATCAATCATAAGCACGTGCTCCTCTCGAAATTAGTTTATAAATAAACTTCACTTAAAATGAGCTGAAACAACAATTCTTGAGATTTTATGGGGACAACTTAATTGTTTCATGTTTAAT